TTTGTTCGAATTTAATTCGAACATAAAATTCGAATATTGGTTCGATTATAGAACGATTGTAAACGTTCCAGAAACGTTGAAAATAGTTCGTTTGACTGGTCGTGAACAGGAGACGTTCAAAAATAGAATCGAGACCAGGAAGTGTTAATATAAAGCGGCATGCAAGATTTACAGGCGGTTTTTTGCGCTATTGCGGGAAATCGAACATATTTTTATGCTCATGTAAAAATTCTCTGGAAACGTCTACAAACGGGAGATCTAATTCTTGCAGTTTGTGAAAACGGGTAAGATTGGCTATAATGTAATTATCTTAATCTTCACTATCGTTACTTTTTGCCCACAAATAAAAACCCAGCGAAGCGGGTCCTTGCAGCTAGTATTATCACATACAAATGTACGAACAAATAAAAACCCAGCGAAGCGGGTCCTTGCAGCTAGTATATATATATAACTCGTCTTTACCTTCAGAATGAAGCTTTTTTTGCTGTTTTATAATAACTAATTAATGATATAAACAGTTTTTAATAAAATTTCGAAGAATTCCACTATACCCAATCTTAAGTATTTAAAGTGCCAGGAAAGTTAGGGGAGTCGTTGCTGGACTTTTATTAATAAATAAATATTTTATGTAACTTATTTGTTCAAAATAAAATTGGTAAAGGGGATCCGCTCTTATCCTCAGACTCCATACGAGTTCTGGGTGGACCTGTTTATATGTGTAAGCCTATGTGTGTTTGTATTGTTTATATTATGACTTTTCTGCGAACTTTTTCCTGGATTCGGGTGCGTATAAATTATATACGTACAGAACTACAGTTTAGAGAAATGATTCGCAATAACCGTTTACTTCGCTTCCCTAGAATTCAGCTAATGTTAAAAAATAAATAATAAATACTTTGTCGATACTTAGGCAGAAAACAATCTGTCGGGGAAATATGCGAATTATTCTACTTACAACAATTATTTTACGACTTCCCGAAACATAACGAAGACTTGCATTATAATTCTTTTTCGTGTCTAATTTCATTCATAGATAAGACGAAGGAAAATGTCAGAAGAGCGAGAAAGATTCGACCCGGAAGAAGTGACTATAGTTAACCACAATGGAGAATGTGTCGCGATGTCGAGATCGTCCTTGATAGAAAAGGGAGGACTTCTGAAAAACTCTACAAATGTGTCTATTAGTGAACGAAAGTTTATTCTCAGATTACCTGCGACGTCGGAAATGCTCAAACAATTTGCTAGGTTTGTACGAATCTACTTTATATAAAAGTTAAATATTCATTTGTCTTTCGCAGACGAATATTTTAGGAAAATCGTGTTGACAGAAACGTTTGGCTTCGTTTAGTTGTTTTTCAATTCCGTGCCAGGAAAAAATTATCTGGTCAGAATATACACTACTGTATACAAATAATTAAAATTAGTTTCTAATTTTTCTACAACGAATTCTCTTTCCAGATATTTAGAGAACGAAATCGCGGAGTTTACTTCTGCCGATAACGGATTCCAAATGTACTTATTTGGCAAACGTCATTTTATTAAGGAGCTGCAAGAACTGTGTCTCGAGTATCTGGTAGAATCGATTTATTCCGGAAACGTTTGTCCTACCCGCGATTTGGCCGTCAGACACGACGAAAAACAATTGCAATATCATTGTTGGAAGCGATTCAGTTTGTCCGATAACAGTATATTCCGAACCGACGATTTCCAACGTTGCGAAGTAAATACAATTAACA